TGATGGGTAAGTTAAAAAGTATAGGTAAACTGTTCAAGCAGATGTTGAAAGTGACTACTACACGTGGCCAAGAATGCAGCCAAGCAGGATGAGAAAATGCAGTGCATAGAAGCCTGCCTCCAGTACACATCCTGTGAGAGAGGAATGCCACCACAGGGATGGACAGCTGGACCCAGTGGACATCTGGCTTTGTAGTGCAGTATGCAGAAAGCCTTTGAGTTCTTGAATAAATAAAAACTTCTAAATGACAAAGGAATAGGGGTGGAAACAGAAAGGAATATGTCTTTTTTTACTGTCTTGATGCTGATATTCAGACAATATTACTGGAAATCCATCTGAAATGTGTCAAAACATGCCAGTAAATGTGCTGATTGAGATTTCAGTAACGCCTAAAATATAAGTGGACTATAAAATTGCACATCACCTTGTACTCCTATTTGAAAGTTTATGCTTCTAGTTTTTAAACTTTTAAATAATTTCTATTTACTCTCAACTATTTCTGTCGCTAAAATATTTTAATACTTACAATTTTGCCCATTAATAATGATATCTTGGTCAATGCTTAAGGCCTGGGTGTCCCATTAGGATCCTTTCTACAAACTACAATAATCTATTTGTATTGACAGGAAATTCTTCCATGGAAATGCCTCCAATTTCATTCCAGTCCCATAAACCCATATGTTATGACATATGAACACAGTCCATCCTTCAGAACGGATCAAGTGAGAATCAGCTGATTGAGTGGCAGGCAATGGACGAGAAGAGCACCTGCGTGCACAGTTCACACAGGGGTTATGGATTAAATAGCAGGGGCCTGGAGGAGGGAGTCTGAGTCCCTCAGAGCAGAAAACCCAAGCGGCCTCTCTCCCTGCATACTTTAGAGGGGGTCCACTGGGCCAGCGGCCAGACCTCCACTGGGCTAACAGGCTATCTGAGTGAACCATAGAGTTTAAATGCTTCAACACATAATATGGTTCATCTCTCATCTTGGAAATATACGCATTCCACACACTTTCCTTTAATGTGCATGGCAGTGCACTTTATAATGATCCAAGCTTTTCCCCCTCAGTACAGGCTTGGTCTGCCTTGGCAGGACTCAGCTCTCTCCTCTGGCATCTTCTGGAACAATGGCCCATGGGAGGCAGCCAATGAGAAGACGGTCCATCCCAAACTCCATGGCACAATTAGGCTCAGGAACAGCGCACTGGCTTAATTGGAGGAAAATAGCTCTTTATCTGGCCTGGGCTCATCATTGCCCCCTGCACTACATGGCCTCAACTTTGGCATTTTGTGGCGCAGAAAGAAGAGAAAACACAAACGCCATATTCACTTCATTTGAGACATTGCAGTACTCATAACGTCGTTCTATACTCCTGCTAATCGCTACAGAACACAATAAAAATCCATCTTTTACTAAATGATTGTTTGCTGTCTAGTTGTGTTGAGGGTCATACATTATCATTGCTTTATCAATGAGGTTGAAGTGACAGTCAGCGGTCTATAGACGTTGAACTCTTTATCAGATGTTGTGACAAGAGGTGAACCCTCTCTTCTTGCACAACAGCTGGCGGAGCAGGAGTACTGAACACCCCAAAGCGGGCTAGGATTTGAACAGTTCTAAAAAGTGCTGTCACAAATTAGTAGATGCGAGATAGGGCTGACAGTCACGTGCCACATGTTTTATTTAGGCATGACAACACGTCTGCAAACTACACAGACGCTCAAATGCCGTGTTCTCCACGGAACCGGTCTGAAATGGGCAGTATAAAATAACAGCTGGAGAACCACATAAAATGGGCCACTACTATGAGTTTTACCACACAAAACAAATGTTCCAATAAACTCCTATACACTGACAGGTCTCACCTTATAGGAAAATGTCGTGGATGTGGCCGAGATGTCTCCGACTTGGCTCTCCTTCTGCCAGGGCAAACTTTGCACGCAAGTCCTTTGGCTCAGGCGTCTCCTCCGATTAGTGACTCCTTTTTAATTTTTTTTTTCGCGTTTTCCACAATTAAAACAATGTCTCAAAGTGACGTATTGTTATATTATTAAAGGCTTATAGAGGAGGTCTGTAGCCAGACCATTGTCAGAATTATTTCTTGTCAAACATAAACACTCTGTCGCAGCCAAACTGCGTCAAATCAACATAAAATGTATTAACAATCTTGTTTGTCACCGTGGAGTTCTCCGTTGTGCATATTATCACTCCACCGCGAACCGTCACAAAGTGTAAACACCCAAATTTCTTGCCGTAACTGTTGCCAAGCTAAGAAAAAGCGGAGACCAGGGATCTAGTTACATCAAAAACGCATAGGTTTTATCGTTGGTTTAACGCGCATCATTTAATGGCACTGTCGGTAAAGAGGTGGTCCAATGGGTGACCGTGGCTCTCCTCGGGGGGTAAGGGAGTAGTTCTCCTGAAGGATGGCAGCAGTGGTCTTTAGGCAGGGCGGGCAGCTTGGTTCTGTGATAAAGGAGGGTCGCCCTTCTTCTGTCGTGCTTTTCCAGATGCCGCGGCGGGGCTGTTCGTTATGTTTGGTCGCAGTTACGGCCGTGTCTAAAGGGTTCCTCTTTTCTAAGCACTCGTGGAGACACAGTGTTGATGGCAGTCTCCTCCACGAGTGTCTGAAGCACACAGACAGCCGCCCGGAGCCCAGCCAGCCCGTCAGGACAAGCCCAGAGTCTGCCAGCTCAGCGCATGCTTACTGCTCCGCCCCTCCGCGGGGCAGTCCTCTCAAAACTCGCCTCACTCTGTTTTCACGACCATCTCTTGTGTTAGCCTAGGGCCTATGCTATAGAACACTTATATTCTTAGTAGTCAGACAAGCTATTCATATTTTATTATAGCCTACAGGGAAGAAATTATGTGGATCATTTTAATGACAACAAAACAATAAGCTCACAAGCTGACTTTAGGACATGACACTTTTTGGTGATAATCAAAACAATAATAAAGGCCCATTTTGTCCTTAAACTTAGGACTGTAAAAATGGACACAAATAGGTCTGTGAATGCTGTAGCATAGGCCTACATTGCCTGATTACAATACTGTGTCAAGTGAGCAAGTGGTGCAAGACATGACTTTAGTAGGCTACTTGGCACTCTCTTGGCTCTATTACCTTGAGTCTGTCAGCTGCCCACCTCCTATTGTTTAGGCTAAGATGCTCTAATTAACGTTTCTGGTACACTATGGTGTGAAGTGACCAAGAGACTATGGCAGCAGCATGATTATTGTTATAATGGCATTGTAAAAATGGGTAGGGGTAAATACGTGTTTACTTCTGTCTGACCAAGGCTATAGGTGATATGTTCTTGATTAAAAAACAAAATCAATTGATGGGAGAACACTGAAGTTTAGTTTATTCAGATATTTGATGAATATCAAATAAATGAATAAACTAAACTTCATTGGTTACTATTACTAAAAAGACTCTTCAAAAAACATACATTTTTGCTCTTCAAAAAACATACATTTTTGCAGTGAGCAAGCTTACCTTTCCATGGATCTGACCTGTAACTTAGCCTGGTGGTGCCACCTAGTTGTGGACATAGATTAAACTAATGCCATACTGTGCAGCATTCCCAGAATATCAGAAAGTTACATAATGCTCCTTTAAGTATTTAAAGAAGGACTTTTCTTGTGTAGGATTTGCCACCTCGTTATCTCCATGAAGCTGTTTTTGCTTTGCCTGCATGTTCCATTCCAAGCAAAGCAAGTGTTTTTACCATTCAAAAATACCTGTGAGCAGAGTCGCCTCTCCACAGAGCTTACTGTAAATGTACCTGTCACCTGTCTGTCTGCATGGAAATAGAAAAATGTAGGCCCAATGCCATGCCTGGAAACATTCCGGGTAAAATTGACATCTGCAAGGACAAGCAGGTGGTGGATCCTCCACTAGAAATGTTAATAGCGCCTCATCCATAAAGGGCCCACAATCTGCTCTGCTAATCCACTGTTTCTGCAAATTTAGGCTTCACCTGCATCATGTGCATTCTCACCTCACCAAGTGTGTACTACAGGCTACATCAAGAAAATTAATCTAAGCTTTTTTTAATGTAGTTTTGCGCACTGCAGTCTTTTTGTGTCTTGTATTGAGGTGTGGATGTTGTTAGTCCATTGGGCAGCCAAACAGGCCTGTGCAAAGTGACACAATTGATTGGGCTATTTTGAGAATTAAAAGATGTCTCTTCTTGATGTTTCCATGGAGATATAATCATACAGTAGCCTATAGATAATTAATTGACCGATAGTTTACAATTGTCACCAGGCTTTTACCGCTTCCTCCCTCTCACTGTTGCTGTGCAGCGTGCCAACTCGTCAGCTGATCTGTTCCTTGCGCGCAGCTGAGCGTCCATCCGCGACAAGATATATATATATATATATATATATATATATATATATATATATATATATATATATATATATATATATATATATATATATATATATATATTATATATATTTATTTATTTATTTATTTATATTTATATATTTCCCCGTCGGTCAGATATAGATATTCCCATAGGCCAACTTTACTCTCAATACGAGCCAATATTATTTTATTTATTTTTTATTTTTTTTACTACGACTAACTATTTACTTATTTATGTCCAGTAAAACCTCATTGAATACATGGATATAAGTTTAATGCAATACTGTGGAACATTCAAGGGGCAAAGCATATTCATAGAGCATTCACATCGCACCTTCAATTAACCATCCATATTTTGCGGGCTCAGGAGAAGCTGAAATATAGTGAAACACGACACGATATATTTTTAATCAAGTAAAAAGCTACTATACTATTTCGCCATTGTCCACTGGAAGACTTTACGCAGTTTAATCGGCGCGCTAAATAGTCCTTTGTTTACATGCTGTGCTGCCGTCTCTGTGCGGAAGGAGGCTTTCGGTAGTGCAGTAGTGTGACTCCTACCAGCTGTTTCCCGCCTTGAAAGCCATCCCATCAGCTGCACACACACACACAGGGCCATGCAGAGGGAGAAGGCAAGGGGAGGGAGCGAGAGAGAGCGAGGTAGAGCGCCACACACAACGAGGGAACCCCATCAGCTGGAAGACGAGTAACATTACAACTCTCAGCAGCCTCAAACTACCACTTTACACAGACGAGATTATACATTATTTGAGGATAAATTCGCGTTGCATCACGGCAGTTTTCTCTGTACAACGGTGCCGCTTTCTTCTTAATCTAGAGCGTTTGTTTTGTGTTTTTTGGGGAAGGGGGGGACCAAAACTGGCGAGTGGTGAGCATGGAGTATTTCATGGTACCAGCTCAGAAGGTGCCCTCTTTGCAACATTTCAGAAAAACGGAGAAAGAAGTCATTGGAGGTCTCTGTAGGTACGTATACACACGCATTCACTGCATATGCGATGCGGTGCGTGGAAGTCATCTCTGTTTGAGAGTAGGGCGCGCTGAGGCAACATGCTTCATCAGATGTTATTGTGTACACGACCTACTCACGGGAAGCTGCGGGCTTTTATAATGACACCACAACTACATGACTATAACCAGCTCTGGGCTGGTACACGAACGCGTCAAATTAATTCGCTCATTTACGCAAAAATCATTTATTTCAAAGCTAACAAACATAAACCACGTGGTACTGCACGCCACGCTGTTACTCCGCTCTAGAGCGCGTCCGCGGTCTATTTATCCTTAAATTATTCTCAAGTGTCACATTAGTGTGCGGTGATTTGCATTACAAGAGTATGGTTCTCGCTGCGGGCGTCACAGTCGGCGGAATAGTCTGTTTTTTCAGCCACACGTTACCGTTTACCTCAGACCGATCAGAAGTTATTGTGGGTAGTGCGGCCATGCTTGTGGCTTGGGCTAAAAGCGAAGGGTCTGGACTTGTTTCATGTGAGTGGCGTCATGGTTTAACAATCAGTCGCTCAAAGCTGGGGCAGTAATTTAAAAATGCTTTGAGAACGGTCGATGCATACAGCCAATTTAATAGACGGTCCCACTGTAACTCAAGCGCCTCTCGCATTGCGTCTTTTCGCCCGTACCTCTCTGCCATGCTGCCTGCCGCATTGTTGTAATGGCGGAGGACATGAAAAGTGTGCTTTGAGCACGCGTTTTTGAAAAGGCTCGCAATGATGAGGACTCTCTCTTACATTGTTAACAAAGCGAAACATATGTATTTTTTGATATATGTGATAGTTCGGCCCACTATCCATGCGAAGAAGCTGGTAATTTAAATGGTGTAAAATTTATAAGGGGGTGTGTTGTCGCGGAAGGCCCTCGATACGTCGACCGCAGCTCGGGGTTGAACGGAGGCGGAGGGATACATGCACAGCTGCTCGATAGTGACGCGGCATTCTGGGAAATGTAGTCTAGTGCTCAAATAGACAGTGCTCGAAATTAGAGAAAAAAAATTACAATGATTGTAATTACGCTAATGGGCATATACTAGGGTTAGTAAATGGCCTACAACAGTGCTTTAGACTGCATATGCCTGTCACTCTCTCTGCTTAAGTTATTTTTGATGATATATGCATAGTGTATAAATATATGAATAATGATAAATATATTCATAAAATATGTCAAGAGACAGTGAACGGTATTTGTTTGAGTCAGTGCAAACTATCAAGGAAACTCACCATGTCTCCACCTATTGTCCTGCAGTTTGGCCAACATTCCTCTAACACCTGAAACAGCCCGGGACCAGGAAAGACGAATACGCAGAGAGATTGCCAATAGCAATGAGCGTCGGCGTATGCAGAGCATTAATGCTGGTTTTCAGTCACTGAAAACACTCATCCCACACAGTGATGGAGAGAAGCTCAGCAAGGTGTGTCCCAGAGTGATTGGCTGAAAAAATAAATTGCATGTGCAGAGCCTCCAGGTTCAAAAATTTTATTCTCTTCCTTATATTTGATGCATTGTCTTTATCTAACCAGGCTGCTATCCTGCAACAAACTGCGGACTACATTTTTACTTTAGAACAGGAGAAGACACGGCTGTTGCAACAGAACAGTCAGCTCAAACGAATCATACAAGTAAATAATCACAACTTTGACTAGAACATTAAAGATCCATAAAGCAATTCAATGATTATGTCCATTTACCTTTTCTATGCTTAACAGGAACTAAGTGGATCATCTCCTAAAAGAAGGCGTGCAGAAGAAAAAGATGAAGGGATTGGGTCTCCTGATATTCTAGAGGAGGAGAAGACAGAGGACCTCAGACGCGAGATGATTGAACTGAGGCAGCAGCTAGAAAAGGAGCGTTCTGTCAGGATGCTCTTGGAAGAACAGGTAAGTCATTGTTACACTGGGACTGAATAAATAGACATTTATTTTTGCCAACTGAAACTGATTTTGGCCAATCAAAATTTATTTGGCCAATTGTTCTTTTTTTCAGGTGCGTTCACTGGATGCACAGTTTTATCCTGAGAAGCTGAAAGCTCTTGCCCTACATATGCAGGATCAGCAGACACAAAGCCTTGTCCAACTTCAGCACCAGAAACAGCTGGAGAGGGACCTCACTCCAGTGCACAGCCCACAGGTGAAAAGAAATGCACATGTAAAATAGGATCTCCTCTAGGCCAGGACTCTCCTGAGAAAGAGATTCTGAATCTCAGTGGTACTTTCCAAAAAAGGATGCACTATGCAACTTCCAGTGGAGGGTATGCCACCTGCTTGTCTCTATGGCGATGTTGTTACTTTGCCTTCAATGGTTGACAGTGGAGTTGCAGTCCTTCTTACAATAAGAGTGCACTTATCAAGGTGCTTACCAATAAAAACACCTATAGTTGAATGAATGCAAGATGGATCGGGTGACTCCTCCCCCGCTGTAAAAGTTTCACATAGCACCTTTAAATAAGTTGACACCTTGTCTTTTTAACACAGTAAAACAATTCTCACTTTAAGATATAGTCCCCTGGCTTTCATGTAATCTTTTCTTTCTATCAGAAGAATCGAAAGTGTCTTTGGTTAGCCGAGTAAACAACTCAAGTTTGTTAACAGAGTAAAGCATCTCTCTCAGTGAATCGCAGGATCTGGGTTCTGCAGCTGACCCAAACTGAACATGACACTGAATTGATTAGCAGGACCTGCCAGACAAAACACTTCATCTGGCAATGCTGAGCTCAGCGGAAACAATGATTGGTACTTTACAACAGCTTCACTGCATTTACTGAGAATATCTAAAATTCTTATTTGCAGGTCTCAAATAAATGTTTTTTTTGTTTGTTTTTTTTTAAATCTAAACTTCTTTGATTCCTGTGCTAAATTAAACCTCCACATCTAATCACAATCAGGGACTACAAAATTTTGCCTGTCTTGTCACAGAAGTGTATAAAAGTGCTTGAATGGGTTTTTTCAGGTGCTTGCACCAGCCACCCCTCCTGCCCCCACTCATCATGCTACGGTTATTGTCCCTGCACCTGTCCAACCTCCACTGCCCCATCACGTCACCGTGGTAACCATGGGTCCGGCCTCTGTTATCAACACAGTGTCTACATCGCGACAGAATCTGGACACCATTGTTCAAGTAAGCTTCTCCAAAGTGTGAACAAAAGTATGGCCACCAGAGGGTGCCAAATTAACTTGTGAAATTATGCTTTCAGGCAATCCAGCACATTGAAGGCACCCAGGGTAAATCTAGTGCAGGTGAGGAGGAGCAGAGGAGAGCAGTTATTGTTACTTCTGGACGTCTTCTGTCAGAAGCTGTCGGCTCAGACACAGCCTCCAACAGTGACGGGCCAGATGACTGCTCACTGCCCTGAAGAGGACTCCTTTCTTTCTGCATGCCGTACACACACACACATACACACACACACACAGACACACACACATACACACATACACGCTCAACAGCACTATGAGGACCTTCATAAGGTTGACAGACAGACTAAAGCACTCGTTAAGATTTTTATAAACGCTCTTTTTGTCAGCCCAGAGGCATAGACTGAATCTTAGACTGGTTTAAATTTTCTAGCAGTCCTTGTTTTCAGCCCTCTAAATTTAATCTATATCGTATTATTTTATCAAGTACTCAATGAAAGCTTTTTTAAAAAGTTTTCCTCAGAAAGCTCCACATCCATTTTTCTATAGACACATCATGTAGAATTGGTAATCATTGCAACTATTTACTTTTCCTGTCCTCAGAACGGCTTTTGGGATCTTGAATTTGTTTATCTTTAGATCCCTCCTGAGAGATAATATTTTGTATGCTTCGGATTCTCTAAGCTAGAATTTCAAAGAGAATGTAATAGATACAGATGTGGACAAAATTGTTGGTACTCTTCTGGCAATGAAAGAAAAATCAACAATCATCACTGAAATAACTTGAAACTGATAAAAGCAATGATAAATAAAAATTTACTGAAAATTGTCCAACAAACATCAAACATTGCTTTTCACCTGTGGTTAAACCGAATCATAAAAAAAAACTAAATAATGAAACTGGCCTGAACAAAAATGATGGTACCCTTAACTTAATATTTTGTTGCAGAACCTTTTGATGGGAACGATGCAAACGATGCAAACAATGCAAACAAACGATTTCTGTAATTGTCAATGAGACTTCTGCACCAGCCAACAGTAGGGTCACCAAATGTCAATTTTTCCCTGGACATGTTTTTCACATCCTGTCCTGGCCGTCCGTTTTTTTTGTTTTGTTTTTTTTTATATAAAGTGATGGAAATATCCGGGTTTCATTATTTTTCATTGGGCCGTTAAATTGACCGGCTCTTGTAGCTCTCTTGCTCAGAAGGAGTGAGCAAACACAAACAGTTGGTCAGCCTGCAACATGCCGAAGTGTAAATGCACATTTAACAATGACTTGAACAAGAAATTCCCCGCTTTCTGTCCTGGTCGAGACAAGTGGGAGGCCATGTGCACAGTGTGCAAAGCAGGCACATATGTTTCGGTGTTCAGTGGGGATGCCAGGGACCTCAAAGCTCACCAGGACACCGACAAACATTAAAAAGCGTTGCGAGAGTAGCTCAATGTCGATGGCAAGGCCCCACCTCCCACTCCCGATACAGTGTCCTGATTTTCACAAACAGAATTATGGTCACTGTAGTCAACAGGTATTTTGACCCACTCCACATGAGCAAACTGCTCTAGTTGTCTCAGGTTTGAAGGGTGCCTTCTCCAGACAGCATATTTCATCTCCTTCCACAGATGTTCAGTAGGATTGAGATCTAGGCTCACAGAAGACCACTCCAGAACAGACCAATGTTTTGTTGGTAGCCATTGTTGGGTGTTTTTAGCTGTATTTTTTGGGTCATTATCCTGTTGGAAGACACATGACCTATGACAGAGCAAGCTTTCTGCCACTAGGCAACAGATTTCATTGCAAAATACCTTGATAGTTTTGAGATTTCGTTATATCTTGCACAGATTCAAGACTGCTAGATGCAGCAAAACAACCCCAGAACATAACCAAGCCTCCTCCATGTTTCACAGTAGGGACAGTGTTCTTTTCTTGGTGTGCTTCATTTTTGCCTCTATGAACATAGAGCTGATGTGCCTTGCCAAAGAGCTCCAGTTTTGCCTCATCTGTCCAAAAGATACCCAGAAGCATTGTGGCTTGTCAATATGAATTGTGGCAAACTCCAGTCTTACTTTTTATGATTTGCTCTCAACAGTGGTGTCCTCACATGAAGTCCACTTTGGCTGAAAGAGTGATGGATGGTGTAATCTGACACTGATATACCTTGACCTTCAAGTTTACATTTAATTTCCACATTTAATTTCTTTGGAGGTTGTTCTGGGCTCTTTGGTTTCCATTCGTATGATCCATCTTTTCAGTTTGTCATAAATTTTCCTCTTGCAGCCATGTCCAGGGAGGTTGGCTACAGTCCTGTGGACCTTAAACTTCTGAAGAACATGTGCAACTGTAATCACAGGAACATCACACTGATTGGAGATGGTCTTATTGCATTTATCTTTAACCTGCTTGTCTATCATTTTCTTTCTAGTCTCCTGCCACAATTCTCTTCTTCACTTTATCCATCATGTCACCAAACAGCACATGTCACCCTATAAATAGGCAAACTGACTGAGTACAAGTTTGAAGACACCTGTGATGCCAATTAGAGGACACACCTAAGTTTAACATGTCCCAGTTGTCCAAGTATTTACAATCTTTTCTAGGAGTACCATCATTTTTGTCCAGGCCAGTTTCATTAGTTTGTTTTTTTAAATAATTCTATTGAACAACAATTCAAAAGCAGTGTCTGATTTTCATTGGTTATTTTTCAGGACATTTTTATTTATTATTGCTTCTCTTAATTTCAGGTTATTTCAGTGACCATTGTTGATTTTTCTTCCATTGCCAGAGGAGTACCAACAGTTTTGTCCACATCTGTATAAGCGTCATGTTGAAAAAACGGTTTTCATGACTTCTTGGTGCTAACAGGAAATCAAGCACGATTTAGGAGTGCACTTAACGGTTCATTACTACTTTGTCTTTTTGCCTTTTTGTTTTACTGGGCTGGGTTCCCAGTAATCCCATATGTTGTTGCATGTTTGTTTCAGTCATTGCCTATCTACAGTGAATACAGTGCTATGATGATGACACTCTCCTCTTATGATAAGAAGTCAAAATAATCAGCAGGGTCTAAGAGGTGGTCTGGATGGTGTGGGTGCAGAGAGTGGCACCTTGTCTGCCTTGTATCCACCTCATACATTCAAACAAAACTGACGTACAATCATCCTTTTTGATGACTTTAAAGAGCTTCTTCTTAAACCATGGATATTTGAAGTTTGATTAGATAATGGGCAGCCCATAGTTGCTCTATGCATTTTCTAACATCTATATCACTTGTCTTGTTTGTTTACTTTGTATGCTATATTTTCTTTCCTTTTTCGTGTCATTTTATGATCATTTCTGGGGTGGGAATTTAAGGTCCAGATGGAGAAGGTGTGTACAGCCTTCCTCCAGTGCATGGAGGCACTGTGGCGCTAGCCTTAACACAGCCACTGGGCTCTAATAGACTACAGTATGTACACACCTGTTGTACGTCTCCCTATGGTTTTTAACCCCATAGTCCCCATGAGAGGGTCTCACACCTCGGGTGTTATAATACATGCTGACGTATGTAGGCTTAAGCTACTTGTGCTGTTTCATTTATTATAAGCATACGTGTTGCTGGTATATTATCTTCATATAAGCACTCTCTTGAAATAGAGCGCACAGTGTCATCTAGATCTGGATTTGCACTTGTTCTTGTGCACTGGTGCAGTGCTTGTAAACATTCCATTCAGTCATATCTGCCCTGCATATTGAAGCCAGGTGAGACATGGGAAAGCCACACCTGGGACATCAGAGATTATGAATGCAGCTCTTGACTCACAAACTCTAAGTGAAATGTGCATTTCTTCAAAGTCATTGTTCTGTACATGCATAGATGGAGCTGCTGGACAGAGAATGTGTTCAGGTTCAACACATTGCATCTATCATAGAATTGCCCTTTAAATATATTGATGTCAGCTGCACTGTAGTCTGTTAAACAAAACAAAGGGGCACTTAACTCTATCAATGAAAGAGGGAATTTTCCGGAATATCGAGGTATGCCTTACGTTTGCGTAGTCCTTATGTGTCTCATAAATTTACTTTTGTCTTTTTTTGTCAAAAGCATGGACATATCAGAGTATAGTGGGCCTGACAGAACAAAAACTATTAAGCACTTACTGTACTAGACAAGGGGAGATTTTTTGTATCAGACAAAGAAAGCTTTCTGTACAGTTCCTACTTGAGGTAAAAGCAAAAACTTTACAGCTGTGTATATATTTTGTCCTTTTTCCCCCATTAAACACTTTTTATTATTTTGCCAACATTCATGCTTTCAGATTTTTGTTGTTATGAAGTTGTTCACATTTTCATATATTTGTTTTTTTTTGTTTTGTTTTTTTTTTGTACTTTTTAATTTTTGACCTGTCAATGTATACAGTCATCAAGAAGCTATTTTTTTTAAGAGGAAATGTTTTGGGGAAAAGAGGCCTGTGCCTTTGTAAAGACAGAATAATAAAGTTTGTACCTTGTTTTTTACTCTGGGGACTTTGAGTGTTTTTGCTCTAATATCACCGTAACAAAATTAACTTACTGGTCAAAATTTGAGAAAGTATTTTAGGCAACAATAGGGAATCTTCTCTTTTATCGTTTCAGCTATAGAGCTGAATATGTAACAATGATTTCAGAGTTTACTAAGAATATCGGAGTAAGATCTGTTTGTAGGTCTTCATTGTTTATTGTAGTGTATTGTGCTACAATACACCACATTTCAGAATGTATTTGTATAATACCACCAGCAAGCTGTGAGATCATTTAAAAAGTGCTGTCAAGCAAGATTCTTGCTAAATACTTGTTTGGTGTGTGTTAAAAGTCTTACGGGGCAAACATAATTTGGTATGCAACTCCAGGCACATTTCTGGATTATTGTACCATTGAGATTTCATTGGAATTAAGATTATGTGTGCACAGTGTCTGCTGGAGTGTGATAAAGCCCTAATCCATCTTGCATTTAGCCAAGTTAAGGATTTAAACTTGGGTCCTTCCCATGTTCAAAGCATGTCCTTATTAGCTTTTATACTTCCCATCACACTATAACACTCACACAGCTCACTGAAATATAAGATCAGATGTTCTTGAATAATGCTGGAATGTCCACATTTGAGTACATAAAATGTATCATTTACACATTTTGTTAATCAGAGTACAATGGATTGGCAAGTCTGCACTTTTTGACACTCAAACTGAAACTGATACATAATGAATAGGGTTAGATACTCTCAATACAGAAAATATTACAGTTTGTGAAAATGGGGTCGAGTACATCCATTGGAAATGTATTTTTTTAATTGAAATATAAACTGATCAAAATTTATTGCAGAGATTGGCGACCAGGCGGTGAACTCTGAATAGGGCAATCAGCTGGTGGTACATTTGGCGTGGTATTCTCTCACACCTCTTACACACAGCCCCTCCAGCAGCTGGCCTCAGTGCCCGCCTCTCCTCTCGCCTCGCCTCTCCTCCGCGCCCTTTGACCTTCCTGCCTGCGGTATATATAGTATGTGAAACTATCAGAGTTCTCCTGGCAGCCATCATGAAGGGTACGCTCTCAATCTGCTGTCTGCTCTCTCTGCTACTCTTGCAGGCTGCTGCAGGTAAGAATTACAATAATTACCTTATTTTTATGTTGGCTTTCTATGTCAGTACAAACTTTAGGCTTACTGTGTTTCATGTGCCAAGTAGGGCTGGTTGTAAAATATATCATCAAATATGTCATTCATAATTTTGGGTTTCAAAACTTTTTAACTCATTATTTTGTATTTTCGTGGCTCTTATGTTCTGTCAGTAGATTATTGTCAGTATTGTCAGTAACCCATACTGACTTACACAGCGTAGGTGTACATGGGGACAGAATGAAATACCAGGCGAGGTTAGACATATATTTATAACCATCCTTTTTAAGCTTCAACTATTTAAAAACTGTCCTTCTTTATTACTGAAAAAGTCACCATGTTGAATAGTATGTCTTTAACTGTCACAGTTCATTTTTTGTTTTGTTTTTTTGTAGTCAAAGTGTTTAGATGTGACCATTGTAGAGTTTGAGCAGTGGTCAGACATGCTTTCAGATGGCTCTGGCCAATGGAAAGTTTTTGTACGATGAGGCTCAAGAGGCTTTGGAAGCATTTTGTTTTAGATTCACTTTTGACTTCCATGATGTCCCATAGATATATAGATAACAGTGTTCAAAGTTAACAATGATTGTATTGATGCAAGTGGCTCAACTAACAATGCAATATGCAATAATTTCAATACAATTCTGTTGATGTGCTGCCCCTAGAGATTTTCCCCATTTAAGATAATGCATATGGATCCGCCCTTGTTCAGTGCGTTACCCTTGCCTCTCACCCCTGCCTGTCCTTGGGGTTCGGCCCTTCCGCCCGGCACAGGCCTATGTGGTCCAGGCCCAGTCAGATGTCTAAGATTGGAAGGCCTTCTGAAACCCTACACTGTCCAGTGCAGCTCCACTCGTCCCTCTCCCTCTCTTCTCCCTCTTCTCCCTCTTCTCCCTCTTCTCCCTCCTCTCCCTCTCTCCCCTCTACCCTCACTAGGCTTTTGATATGCTGCACAGCTGCTGTCACTCTGCACTGTCACAAACACAATTTATTCCCAGCAGTTGGCCTTATAGGGACATGCTTGCCCCCAATGTTGAAGCCAGGCCATTGTAATAGCATGCCCGATGAAAATTTCAGGTTATATGCAAGTGAGAATATAAAGTCAGAGTAAATAAACAACTCTTCATTGTTGGCAATGAGCAGACTAGAAAATGTAAGAATTTTTAGCTGTAGGGTGGCCTAGGAATTAAACATCAGTGGCAATGTTCAGGAATCTCCATGTTTAGGATTTTAGCCTCATATTGTTTTCCTAAACTATTTGGAATTCGACATACAGCCCCATGTGATTTCCTCTGGCATCACGTAACATGTGCAGGGGTCCCTCTCTTGAAGGGGGACATGAGAATGGCTCCATCTTCTCATGAGACTTGGACCAAGGGTACAGCGTGTCCTTCACATGCTTCCAATGGGAGACAGAGATCAACACCTCTGTGTAAAGCTTTAAACTACTTCATTCTCTTAGTCTTCCTTCACTTTGTCAACTCATTACCAGCAGTTACTCAGAGTAAAAATAGACCACAGTTACAAGGCTTAGATCAAGTCTAAATTTAATGACAGTTTGAACAGAAGAATACTCATATCAGAGTGAATTAGGCTAAATGTTAAACTGTCAGGCTATTGGTCAGATCCTTAAAATAGGATGCAGCCACTGTGCCTCCTGCTTAGTCGGGCGCATGAGCCATGGGGGTATATTTGTGAGGATGGGGGGAGCTCTACAGCAGCTCCACCTGTTGCCATCTGTGCACCACACCCGCCTCACACCTCTATTTGTGACAGAAAATACACATTCCACTGCTCTCCTGCTGTCGCCGCTTTTGGTTGATGCAGTTGTTACCATGCGTCACTCAGTGCAATGACTCCTTTTGGGTTTCTGCTAGGTAAACAATCAACAACACGTGGCAAATCTGTCTTTAAAGCTTTTATTATTGCTAAAAAAAAAAGACTTTATAATGGTGGAGTAAGGATGATGGAGTGCAATGATAATTAACATCAGTGACCAATGGAAATATTTTAGTAAGTTGTCAAAACTGTGAAAACATATATTTGAGTTTATCAAGATATCAACTAAATATGTGCAGCTAAAATAATATGTGATGCCCTTTACGAAGCATTCCAGAGGAATCCCCTAAGTTTGACTTACTTGAACCCAAAGCTCAACTAATATCCTGGGGCTTCCCTCTGCTCTCCTCATGTTCGCTTTAATTCAATTACCTTCCATTCCACCTTTACATAATCTAGCACACTCAAGTGTACACTGTGAGCTCATAGAATAAAGAACACTTATAATAAAAAGCAGTGCAATATTTGTAACATCTATGTAGTAAGGTACAATGATTATATATCCTCCTTCAGCTGTGACATCATAAAGAACCACTGGAGATGAATGTTGATGCTACACAGCCCAGACACTGAGTCCTACTCTACTCAAATCTCCCTCATTCATACTGGATGTAGTTTATAAGCGGAGTATTTCTTTTAACCAACTAGTGTTGTGGGGCAACGGACTTTGTGGACACATGGTTCCAAGCCTCAGATGTCATGGGTTCAACTCTCCTGGTGCCTACAGGGTTAATTTTGAGTGCTGATGCAAGACACGCCCTGTGTAGGCAAAACAAGCTGTGATTCCTGTGGTGTGCTGCCCAGCGCACCAGAGGGTGTTAACAAGTTAACAACACTTAGGGTCGCTCATGTGGGCAGTGTTAAAAGACTGAGCTCCACTGTGAGAAATCTCAGAAGCTTGAATCTGATTACACCATTAAGGAACATGGTGCTGTATTGTATGTTGCTATATCTAGTCTAGATCAATGTAAAGTCTATATCTAGTCTAGATCAATGTAAAGTCTAAAGTTGCTTTAAGTTGTGTGAAAATTTCATATTAAGTCACATGACAAATATATTTGAGGAGCAAAATGTATACCATAAACTCATGCACATGGTCAGAGACAAGAACACTATAATTATTTCACTCAGTTTACTTTAAATGATAAAATAACATCAAGTAACGCAAGTTATCACAAAATATAAAACTGCAGAGCTATTGTCTTTGGTAAACATGACCAATTAAAGCTTTGGAGCATGTGCCTTTCCAGCAGAAGCTAGAGCTAGAGGGCTGGAGGTGTGTACACTGCCTTTATTTTCACTTCACTGCTCTGCTCAAGCAGTTATGCTTTTGGTTGGGGCTGGGCCTGGGGGACATGCGGACAAGTCGCACCATTGAATACCTCTGTGATAATGGAGTAAATATAGAGGAGTAAAGACAGAGGATTGTACACTGGCTGTGTGCATTAGTGTTGGGAACAATGAGTCCAGCTCTGCATCCATACTGTACTGGACCAGGGAAGTCCCTTTGTGGCTTTTATCTGTTATCAGAGCCATGGTAAAGCCAAACACAGCTCTGTGTGTATTTATTTTTGTCCCTGTCTTTCTAAATAAAGAGCTGACAGCATTAACAGCTGTGATTGAAGTAATATGATGCTTTCATATTTGTCCATGACACTCTTATTAGAGTAATCACCACACTTTGTGCAGCTCATACATTTAAATGTGACTGACAACTGCTCAGAGTGCTAAAACTACAGTATGTACTACACATGTGTAAAGTAGTAAATGTATTTTTACCTTTGTTTTCAGAAGGGGAGGACGTCACCACCGAGCCTCTCAGGGACAGATCTCACATAGATGAAACACTCAGACTTGCAACTGAGGAGAAAGCAAAAGACTATGCAGGTGAAAAAGTCACATTATTGTAAACTTATGTCTGCAAACACAAAAGCACTATATTGTTTCAATGACAAACCTAACCTTCTATTGTCATTGCAACTGCAGCGGCTCTACAACAGTTGAGAAAGATCTACCACACTTCCATCAAACCCATGGAGCAGGCCTACAAGTACAATGAGCTGCGGCAGCATGAGATCTCAGGTATGACCTGTGTGCTCACAGATTATTGCTGAGCAGTGAGATCTGTGTGGGATGCTTTGTGGAGAACTTCATGTGCAAGCAAGCATATTTTCATTTGAACAATTTCTCTCCCTTTATTATCTCAAAAGTAAGAACCAAAACAATTCATCAATGGTCAAAATATTGTCACCAGTATTTTGAAGGTCAAGTTTGATGATGTTTGAAGATGGTTTATCAATGTATTAGTTTATCAGTTTATTAATACACTTACTTTGTTTTAAAATAGCACTTACACTAAACTAAGTACAGTCACCTAATAAATATATTTTCCTCTATTTGACACATTTCTGTATTAATTGTGCTCCCCACCATCACATTGGCCTTCATACATTCACTCGTCCATGTTTGATATGTGGGGTCAAATATGGAATTCTTTCATGCACTTTGTGATAGCACCCTTCACGTTGCACCGTCACTGTGCTCATCCCTGTCCTTCACAAACTGTTCCCCTCATCTAACAGCCTATCCTGGACGAACCCTAGGCGACCAGGCCACAGGTGGGTGAGGGCTTACCTTTGTGCATGGCAAAGCCGGGAATGCTCCGTCTTCCTTCCTTCCCCTTCATTTGTCTTAATACATCAAGTTCCTGCAAATGCACATGGTTCTACTCTTTACTCTCAACATCCATTCATTTTTTATGGAAATCAGGTCACAAAGAAAGAGCTAAAAATGAAATAAAGGGAAGAAATGACTGTACAAATAATTACGGTATAGAGTGGGGAGCATGTGCTTTTCTGACTAGCAAAAACAAGCACTGCATTACCAGGTCTATCCTATGTATTTTTTATGTGTTTTGTTCATTGCTTTTAAAGAAACTATCTCTGCCATGTACAAAAAGCTCATAAAGCTCTAATGCCAGCCAGCACCCACCTGCTTGCTTTCAAGAACCACTGTCTCTCTTTATGCCTGGTTGCTTTGGGATTAAGCTTTGATTAAATACGCCTGGCTGCTTCACCTCTTTGTGGTTTTGTTGTTAATAAATGAGTTTAAAATCAACCGGCCAACACAACAACAACAAAAATGTACTTTTTGTTTCGCCTGTGCAGATGGAGAGATTACATCCAAGCCAATGGTGCTGTTCCTGGGACCCTGGAGTGTAGGAAAGTCCTCCATGATCAACTACCTCCTGGGTTTACATGAAAGCCAGTATCAGCTCTACACAGGTGCAGTGTGTCCTGCTTAGTCACTTTAGTTAACTCAGATACTAAAGGGTCTGATGAGCAGAATTTCTGAAGATGTCCCTTCATTTACCTTGATAGGAGCCGAACCCACCACATCTGAGTTTACTGTCATTATGCATGGAGAGAAGATCCGATCAGTGGAGGGTATTGTGATGGCTGCAGACAGCTCACGCTCCTTCTCCCCCCTTGAGAAGTTTGGGCAGAATTTCCTAGAAAAACTCATTGGTATTGAAATGCCCCACAAACTGCTGGAGCGTGTGACTTTTGTGGACACACCAGGAATCATTGAGAACCGCAAGCAGCAGGAAAGAGGTGAGCTAGTGTTTGTGCAACAAGGAAAAATCCATTCATTTTAAAATGTTATTCTTAATTTTAGAAATTAATTTACTTTTCTCATTCAGGCTACCCTTTCAACGATGTCTGCCAGTGGTTCATTGACCGTGCTGATCTGATTTTTGTGGTGTTTGACCCCACTAAACTGGACGTGGGCCTGGAGTTGGAGATGCTTTTTAGGCAGCTGAAGGGACGTGAGTCTCAGATTCGCATCATCCTGAACAAGGCTGACCACCTAGCCACCCAGGACCTGATGAGGGTCTATGGAGCACTCTTTTGGAGCTTGGCACCCCTCATCAATGTGACCGAACCTCCTCGTGTCTACGTCAGCTCCTTCTGGCCATACGACTATGCTCCTGACACTAGCAGAGACCTCTTTAAGAGGGAGGAGATCTCACTCCTCGAGGACCTCAATCAGGTCATCGAGAACCGCTTGGAGAACAAAATTGCCTTCATCCGCCAACATGCCATTCGAGTGCGCATTCACAGTCTGTTGGTTGACCGATATGTTCAAACCTTTAAAGAGAAGATGAGCTTCTTCAGTGACCCTGAGCTAGTCTTTCAGGAGATTGTGGATGACCCAGACAAATTCTTCATTTTCAAGTCCATATTAGCCAAGACCAATGTCAGCAAGTTTGACCTGCCGAACCGTGATGCTTATCGTGACTTCTTTGGCATCAACCCCATTGCCAGCTTTAAGCCTTTGTCCACTCAGTGCTCCTACATCGGGGGCTGTTTGCTGGAGAAAATAGAGAAGGCCATCACCAATGAGCTACCTGCTCTTCTGAGCAGCATTAACTCTGGCAAGCAGCCTGGCCTGTCCTCCTGTGAAGCTACAGGCTGTGGGGAAAAGCCAAAGAACCGCTATCGAAAAAACTGAGGAAAATTGATGAGTGTGAGTGAGAAGTGAGTTGAAGAAAGGGGTGCTACTATAAGCCTGGTCTTTTTAGGATACCTGAGTGCTTAAGGGGACAAAGAATGGATTTGTGTTTTTATGAATGAGAATATACAGTAGAGTACGAATGGAGTTAGACAGTAGGAGAAGTGAAAAGGCAGCTTAAGGGCACAAGTGCTGACAAGAAATGGAACACCACTGAATAAAAAAACTAAAAAAAAAAACTGGACTGTTCACAACCTGGGTTTGGGAAAAATATAAAAAGCAAAATAGAAAACAGATAAATGGAATTTTAGTGATACCAGTTCCCTTTTATGTGAATTAAACAGGAAAAGTGGTTGTTGCAAAATGTGACAACTGCACTAAAGCAGATATTTTGTTAGAAACATTTCAGTAAATAGATTATTGGTGAGCATCATTGACTGTGCTATCGTTCTATTTCATATATATATATATATATAATGACGCTCATGGATTGTTGACAATCTTCACATTGTTGTTATATAAGCAGAGGTCAGGGGCCAAGGCTTAATCTGAGGGCTTGTTCTGCTTCATCTGTTGTTACTGTTTTTGTTTAAGTCTACTACTTCCATTCAGTACTGTGTTATTTTTTTCATTGCCTTAAGCTTTCTGAAAGCTGAATGACCACATAAATAACATGGAAGAATGTGTCTGTGTTTATTTATTAAATTGCACATGTAAAGCTTAATTTTGTACTTAAGCAGAGAAGAAAATGTGTATTATTCCAATCTTTTTTAAATTTGTTAAATGATCCCTCTTGTGGATTTTGGAGTTGTCCCCTGACCTCTGTAGTGAGAAGTGAAAGCTGACCTCACTCCACCTGATGCAGATGCTATAGGCCTATGGCTTTTTAAACCTACCTCAAAATATTCAGCAGAATCATGACATGGCATGTGGACATTATCAATAAGATAATATTAACGGGTAGGTAGAAATTACCTCCCGTACCCCCTTGCTGAGAGTCGCCCTTTTCAACAAATTCAAGCCATCCTTTGCTCACTGTTCTTGTCTGAATGTGTGTGCTCCACGTGGTGCTTCTATACAAACGTTGGCCACTAGAGAGTGCTGTGTAAAAGTGCAAGATTAACAGAAAACTAACTCCAACGGGGCCGTACACGGACCCTAATAAATACTGTTTTATCATTTGTATGTGATGGTCCAGGTTTTTCGGGGTGGTTGCCATGTTGGTATGTTATAGTTGCGTTTTAAATTTTATGTGAATTGGTTGTAAAATAACACTTAAATTATTATTTTGAAGCTTGAAAAAAGATTTCCGAATAAAGATTGCTGATTGACATGAAATTGTGGTTATTCGAGTCTGCTGATCGGAGTCTATCTGTATTAATATTGTGCTATTGTGGTATTCGACCTAGGCCTACATGTTTTCTAATAGTATAGCTTGATATTGCGTCAAGTTAAGTCAAGTTATTCGAACCATTTTAGAATCTTGACAAAGGAGTCTTGATCTTGAACTGGCGACAGAAAACAATAACATGGATTAATTGGTCATTTTCACACTGGTTGAAAAGGTAGACTACGTAAAAAAAAAAAAAAAAAAAAAAAAAAAAATGAAAGCATAGGCTATAGATTTGCCTTTTTAAAATAGTTTGGTGTGTGCTGAACGCACAGATGGATTTGGATGTTCCTTACCTTCCTGTTGACTTTTATTTTGACACATCCAGGATGCGCTTGGTACTACGTCGCTCTTGACATAAATCATCCCCACCTCACAGGGACACGCTCATTTCACGCGGCTGGGCGCCCATCAGAAAACACAGAAGATGGTGGCGGCGGCAGACTGCGATATCCGCCGCGCCCGTATAGGATAGGGGTCCACTACCTTCAAGCAAGACATAGACCTGCAACACGCAAATATTGCTCTGATTAGGAAAAATGACATATTTTCTTAACCCGGACCGTGCACGGAATGAAAACAAGTAGCGACTTATATTTTGTCATTCAAAGTATGCAATTTATTGCGTTTGTATGCTGTATTTTAAAATCTTAAATTGAGAGAGATCCTGACTGAAAAGCACCGTTTCGAGCAGCGGACTGTGTCCTGGAAGACGCGCGCAGCAGAGAAACTGTTTTAATTAGCTATTCTCTCCTTTGGCTTTTCGACGTCTGACATTTCCAGAGGGACCAAGCTGCTGTGGGTAAACTTTACTTCCTTGGACAACACGGGCCGGACCCTAGTTTATTTTTTTGAAGATTGCTCCTGCGACCAGGAGCAGTCATGATGTGGATACTTGGATTTCCAATAGGGGCTATTTGAATGCTTGTTGATACCAAAGCTTTGAGAATGGAGCGTAATCATAGGTGAGCGTGTTTACTGGTATCTGCTACAGAATTTTACGCCCCTGAGGGTCTAAATTGCGATTCTGGTGTCGTGGTGAGCAACTGGAAAGTGAGAAAATGAAAATGTCCAGTCATAGGTCATACACCCACCCTGTTTGACAGAAGAAGTTTCAGTTTGGAAAACAGACTTAAATCTCATTTACAGTGGACATATTTTATTGGCTGACATTGGCATCTTTGAACCAACAGACGATTTCCAATGCTGGCTTTATGCAATGTCTAACAATGAGTGGAACCATTGGCGTGCAACTGAGTGGTTTTGGACAGAGACCGAGCAGACACAGACTGAACTTTACCATCTCAAGTGCGTCAAAACAGCCAAGAACCTAAAAGAATGCAGGACTGACGTCATCTGAGGCAGTAATGAACAAGTCACATTTTTGGAAATTACCTCAGCCACACCATAATAACTACTGTTAAGTTTTTTTTTATTATTACACTGTGTTTTTTCTTTACTCTCCCTTTAAGAGAAAAAACTGTCAATTGAAGTCAATATGGCTTCCCCCCAACATCAGCAGCTGCTGCCTCACAACACAGAAGTGTGTTGTGACTCGAGTGGAGATGGAGGAGTCTCAGTGCGAATTGGCAGCAGTATCAGACACAAGCACGGAGGCGGGCCGCTGGGCTCCTTTGCAGGGGGCTTTATGGGGGGGTCCAAACACTGTAAATACAGCATCTCCTCTAGCTGCAGCTCGGGGGAGTCTGGGGCCAGGAGACCTGCAGCCAAGAACTTTCGTGTGCCGAAGAAAATGCCTCAGCTTTTCGAGAGATCTGCGGGACAATTCTGGAACCCTAAATTTGACTCCTCTATCCTGGAGGAGGCCTGTCGTGAGCGGTGCTTCCCTCAGACCAAAAGGAGATTCCGTTATGTGCTTTTTTACCTGGTGTCTGCCACTGTCCTCTGGGGAGTGTACTTTGCTGTTCAGCCATCACGCTGTGATAGAAAAACCTTTCTCCTTCCTACTGTATCATTTCTCGTTTTCTGCCTGCTCCTTTTCCTCCTAACATTCACTAAGCGCTATAATCACTACTACAATCAGGCCTCTCTTCTACTCATTTTTGTCACGTTCATCCTCACCTTGGTGCCGCAGATTCAGACAGCAGGTTTCAGGGACCCAGAAACTTCCACTGGCACATTAGAACAAGATGAACAAAGTGGTATGGGCCCTGTGTACAATGTGTCATATGAAAAGCAGTTAGGGGAGGACAGCTGGTCACCTTGCCTCTCTCCTGTTGGTACATTTTCACTGTGCATTGAAGTGCTCCTTCTGCTCTACAGCGTTCTCCATGTCCGCCTTTATGCCTCTCTCATGCTGGGCTTACTCTACTCTGTTATGTTTGAGAGTTTGGGTTGGTTGCACCTCACCCAAACAGGGGAGTCCTGGAGTTTGTCCTCTTCTTCAGACTGGGACACTTTACGATGGTTAGGACCTGCCAAAGTCCTGCTCCATCTCTGTGCTCATGCAATAGGCATCCATCTGTTCATCATGTCAGAAGTGCGTTCACGCAGCACATTCCTCAAGGTGGGACAGGCAATCATGCATGGGAAAGATCTGGAGGTAGAGAAAGCCTTAAAGGAGAGGATGATCCACTCTGTTATGCCCAGGATTGTGGCTGATGAACTAATGAAACAAGGCGACGAAGAAATTGGTGACCATTCAGTCAAACGGTACTCTACCAGTGGTGCAGCAGCAGCTCTATCAAGTCCAAAGAACTACAAACACAAAAAGACCTCTATCCCCCGTGGTCAAATCATATTCAGGCCTTTTAACATGAAACGAATGGAACCTGTCAGTATTCTTTTTGCGGATATTGTTGGCTTTACCAAAATGTCTGCCAACAAGTCTGCACATGCCCTTGTGGGACTATTAAATGACTTATTTGGGCGTTTCGATCGGCTTTGCGAACTGACTGGCTGTGAAAAGATAAGTACTCTGGGGGACTGTTACTACTGTGTAGCTGGGTGCCCTGAGCCCAGGCCAGATCATGCCTATTGTTGTGTGGAAATGGGGCTTGGCATGATTCAAGCCATTGAGCAATTTTGCCAAGAAAAGAAGGAGATGGTTAACATGAGGGTGGGCGTTCACACAGGAACTGTTCTGTGTGGTATTCTCGGCATGAAACGCTTCAAGTTTGATGTTTGGTCCAATGACGTTAATTTGGCCAATCTGATGGAGCAACTGGGTGTAGCTGGGAAAGTTCACCTGTCTCAAGCCACTGCAAACTTCCTGGATGATCGCTATCAGTGCGAAGATGGGCATGTCATAGAGAGGCTGGGTCAAAGTGTGGTGGCAGATCAGCTTAAAGGTAGGTCTAAACTACTTTAAAACCTGGTTGTGTAATTAAAATTATTGCCTCTAGGGCTGTGAATGGACAATTTAAAGGTGCACCACCTGCTCTGCCACCTGCTTGTCTCTATGGAGATTATATTGCTTTGTCTGCAATGTTCCACAGTTTAGCATCAAACTTATCTATCTTGCATTCAGAAATAAAAATGCTTTGAAAAACATGCTTTCTTCGTATTAGGGGCCTCTTCACAGACCTGAAGGTAACCTGGCCCCATAGAGATAGATGAGCTTTATGCCATACTGTGGAACATTCTGGGTAAATCATTAACATATTTATGGAGACGAGAAGGTGGCACACCATCCAACGAAGTGACATGTACCTTTAAAGGTGCAGCCTTTTCACTAAACAATGTGCCTTTTAAAACTGCTACACAAGTAGTGTAGCCACAGAGCATAATTAGCACAATGGCAAAAGGAATGATGCAACTGATCCAGAACAGCCCATATAACCAGATGGAGCAACAAACTGCTACAAAGGTTAAAGAATCAGAATGCCAAGGATCAATTCATTTGCCTTCTTAAATCTGTCCTTAATTCGTTTTGCAGCAGCACAAAGCAAGCAGTGAAATACAGTTAAAATCTTGTGATTACTTTAGTTTCTAGTGATACAGATAACATCTACTTATTCAATTTGCTATATTTTGTGCAGCCATAGTCTATAATTACAATGTCAAGGTTAGCAGGGATAGCATATAACAACAATAGCATTATATGAATCATAAACAGCATTTTATGTGCATCTGCTCTCCCACAGGATGTTTTCTATATAACATAGCCATAGTCCCTGGTGTGTCTTTAAAGAGAGGGCCATTTCCATTTGCCAAGGTCAACACCGGGACTTTCAGCATTATATTAGGATTGATCGAGAATGTTGAGTGCTTTAAATATGCTTTGAATTAAACAATATCCTCTTACAGTTTGTAGTATGTGGCCTTACCTGTGTTCTTTGTTGCTTCATTCAGTCGCAGAGTGTGTCCCCTTCTTTTAACCTTGTACTGAACCTGAGAGAATTGCCTTACAATTTAATAGAAAAGCTCCTTTCTCTAATAGACATTTGCCTGCGGTTTTATTTACCTCTTTTTGACTCTTGCTCCAGATAGAACTTGCTAATTGTGCCTACTGATTACACTTGATTTAGTCTTTGATTAGCCTGGTTTTGTTCTGGGTCAGTCCAGTCTAGACCTCTCTCTTGAATCTGTGTTTTCTTTTTTTCTATATTAATGCTTATCATGTCTAAAAGTTGTACATCTCTCGTGTTTTCTTGCCTTTTGGATGATATTGGGGTGGGAGCCATGGCAAGAAAATGGAATCGTGATATGAGCTCTGTGATGATATGCATTTTAGTGATGTTGTCATTTCTTGACTCAGTGCTTTTCTGTTGAATTGAATTTTATATATCCGCTGTGTGCTGTCTGAATCAATTAGAAAACATTTTATTGTCCAATAATCAGGAAGTATGTTAGCATGCTGGTCATGGCAAAATTTTGCAGTGGTCTCTGAGAGTTCTGAAAAGCACTTATAAACTCAGTGCGGTGAATAATTTAGGAGGCTCCGAATGCATAAGGTAAAAAAAGAGTTACTCTGGACCACTACAAACCATTTCAAATGAACTAGTTCAGTGTTTTGCCTTTTTTAAGTAAAAATCATGTACATCATGTACTGACTGCAAGAACCATAAATCTTGGCTCTGAAAAAATCACCCAACCTTAGTTCTGGTATCACTGTCTTAAAATGTATACAGTAGATTTTGTGTGTTCACTTGTGAAGTAATCCACAACCGTTTGGGAGGCGGTCTGTGTTTGCTCCAGTTTACAAGATTTTGTCCTGGAAAACGGTGCAGTGAGTAAGTCCAAAAAGAACTAAACATGCATTTTGTTTACATGCCAACAACCTATGATTTATGAGCTGGCATTTCTCACCTTTTTGATTAATGAGCTACTCCTGCACAAGCATCTTTTTTCATGAGGAGGACAAATCGAGTCTAGTTAAACTTTTATCCTCCTTTTCTTCCTCTGACGCATTGACTTCTCTGAGATTCATCCTGTCCTGGCGGATTTGGCATCGGCTGAAGGAGCTGGCTGTCAGGAGAGTTGTTCTCTAGTGCCATGAAAATCCCTCTACTGTCTCGACTCAAGTTGTGTAAATCACTTGGGTAACATCCATGGATTTTGGCTGGGATTGTTATAATTTCAGTTCAGTTTAGTCCAGTATGACTCTTATTGGTGAAGCAGTATTTCTTCTATTTGTGTGACATTTTCAGTGTTCATTTAGGTTTTATTGGTTTGTGATTCTGCACAGAAAGAGAAGAGATGTGTGATTCTTATTTAGTGTTACATAGATGCCCTATTTAATGCTACCCTCCCATATTAAAGTACATAAATTACAGTTTTTTTCGTGAATGGGACCACTGATTGCACAGTTCAGCTGCCAGCTTACAACTGTATCTAAAGACTGACCACAAGCTAGTAATTGTATTGCATTTGTTCACTACTCAGACTGAAAGTAACTGTGGCAGCCCTCTTCATGCGGTTCTTTTGGCAACATGTAAGGTCAAATGTCTGTTTATCTGTGTGTTTTTCTCACTCCTAAGCTGCTATTTTTGGCACAGTTTCCCAGGAAAGATGTGTCTTTCTTTTGTGTTGCTCGAAATAATGGCACCTGCACACGATGATCTCTTCAGAGGAGGCACTATTATCCAACTAATCCTGACAGAATCACAAAGAGGCAGCCGGGACAGATCCCATTCTCTTCTAAAACAACAAATGGCTTTTATTACAGTGGGACATAAAAGCTGTTTGCATGCTGATGTGTGCTAAAGGACGTGATAGGCACTCGCATTAGCTTCTGCATTGTAAAGAGATAAGAGTAATAAAACTGGTAGGCCTGTTTTATTAAACTTACATGAAAATTTGTACTGCAAAAAAACTACACGGTTCGCTTTAATGCCTTTTATTTTGATTGAAATGTGCAGCCTCTACAATCTTGAAGCTTACCTTCAGATTTCACCTCATGACCTTTTCATGGTTAACAGCTGAGCAGATGAAGGGTTGGTGTTTAGTATATTCTGATCCCCTGTGCTTTGTGGAACATACCAATTAAGCAGATCCTGCTAATCTCCTCAGCTGACATGATAAATGTTATTAGTAATTCGATCATCACATCTTCCCATCTCGGCCTGGTCTCATCCTGAACATCACCAGACTCCTGCTGCAGCCTGCTGCAAGCCAACAGGTTTTATCACTGCAAATAATATTGATTCCCCATAATAAATATGTCATGGCACTGTATAGTTACTATAATGAGGCAGCTAAAGACTTTCACATGACCTGAGAAAACCCAGACAACTATAGCAGAGGCTGGTGGTAGCTGTCATCCATGTAATCAATTTCCCATTATCCCTCTTCACTTTATAATTATTGATCAGCAATTTTTACATTGATTAGATTCTGAAGTATGTGATTCATGAAGCGTGCGTTTTGCTCGTGCTCTTTTTCTTCGTGCACTGCAGGAGGTGTAACATCCGCTGTAGGTGACTCACACCAACATCTCCATTAATATTTACACTTGCCTTTCACTGCTCTGCATGAGCTGTAGCAGCTCAAATGTGCTGCCAGTCAACACACTGTACAGATGTGGTGAGTTGCTCAAATGTCTTATAGTTCTTCAAAATGGTAGTCCATATTCCCTGTGCATAGTGTTATAAAATGAGGAGTTAAGACAGAATTTTGTTCTGGATCTATTTTAGCATACTTGAGTTTTCCCATTTAAATTTATTTTGAGTTTAATAGGACCTATTATGTGGAATAATGTGGCAATTATCAAATGACTAAAAACAGAAGTTGCTGTTTTTATAAACAGGCAATGGATTACCCCTTTTACATCATTTGTTATACTAGTCTAAGAATATATAGAATAGGTTAACTATGTAGTTGCAAGTGACACCATGTTTTATGCTATTTATGTCTATAGTTTGACCTCACAAATCCTTTCTGTCATGATTTGTCTTTGTAGCAACTTTCAGAGTCTCCTAGCATTGATGGTAACTGCACTGAGCACTGTGCATACTGTGATATTTTAATTTGATGTTGCTCCAAAAAAAAGTATAGTGATATACCATAAAAGATTTGATATGGCTCAGCTCTATTTTGTGTACAGCTGTCTTGGGGAGAAATTAAATACCAATTGTATTTTTGTCTAGACTCTGAATCAGTATTCACTTATAGCATTGAGCCATACTGCGCAAAGTCAGGGGGGTCAGTGCTGAAAAGGAAAGTACTCAAGTGGCTGACTGTGTAAAGAGGTGCACACACTGAGCTGTGACTGGGCTGTCGACAGCTGTTACAGCTGTGTATGAAGCCCTCCACTAATCATTGGAGTTCCCTGGAACATCATTACACGGCATACTAGACTGTTATACATTTCACATCATCTTCAACTCTGAGGGACTGCTTTATATATTCTGTTGTAGTTATTTATACCAGAGGCTTAATGTTTTTGTGCACTGACCCAAAGTGCCCTTGGCTGCATGTTATATTTTGTTCTTTGAAAGTTTAGCTGCATTCATGCAGTCTTTACTGTCTCTTACATCCTAAACAATACAGCCTGCACAATGTATAAGCCCCTTGTCACGCTTTGTAAAGTTTGTGCTATTGTGCGTCAGGGTTGTTGAAGGTGCATTAGCTTGGTGCTACAGCTGCATTAGTTTGAGTTATCCCAGGTGCCGCACTGTTACTCAGCAGGTTTATGCTACCTATACATACTGCCTTCAGCACAGTGTGTTACACACCAGTGAATGAAAGATTTGTATACAGGAGACACAATGTTTTAGGATAAAGAATTTCACTCGCAGTGCACATAATCCTATCGTGCATGGTCCAGTAAGCTTTCTATTGATCTGATAGTGTGGGAGTTTTCTCCATGTTATCCAGTTGATAGCTTACATCTGAAGTGCTAGAAGCC